TGCTTTAGTGGTGGATACAATTTTTCTGGGACTTCTGTTGACTTTTTTAGACTACATCGAATTGCAGGATTGTCTGAGCAGAACTGCTCAAACTACCTCTGACCAGACCTCATAGACATTTCAAGTCACCGGCCATATAAAACAATCTTGCCAACTCCGTATGCCAAAAAGCCGTGGCAGTTACCGTCTTCCCCTTTGACCACGATATTAAAATGATAATATAACCCATCCGTAATTTCACCTAAACTAGCAGGTTTGTCAATATAGCGACAAATTCGCTTTTGAACTCATGACCTCAAGTGTTGATTAATACGAATTATGACTTAGAGCCCCACACTGCCCTCCTATTTTGCCCAATAAAGTATTTAATGGAAAATTGATGTATAAAACATAACATTTGCACTGACTTTATGTGCAAATTAATCAACATAAAATATTCCTTAAATTTGTTTTGTCTCGTTTCCATTTTTCCGTATGGTTCTGTTGAGCTCATGGGTGAAGAATATAGGTAGAAGCTATTTAGTTAACAGCACGGCCACTTTTTTTTCCATAAAGGCCTCACATTTATACATCCATTAGCTTTGGATATTTCGAGGTTAGCTTTAGAAGGTTAATGACCATAGAGCTCAGGGTAGAATGATACGAACCCATAAGTGTATTGGAAAACTTCATTTAAAATTATTTTTCAACGTTACGTTACATTTTGGCAAAAACCGTCATTACTGATACTGCCATGTGGTTGGACTCAGCTAAAAGCTTAGCAAACTCGATACCAACTTGCAACAGTTTTATGGTACCAATTTGTTCAAGTCTAAAAATGCCTTCATATGACTAGTTTACTACCAGTTGTAGCCCCACTTTAGGCTCTGGACGGTAAATGTGAGCTAAAAGGATACTGCTCAACCACTTCAGCAGTGGATGGGTTTTTAATGAAGAGATTTCCATCGCGATCTTTCTTGAAGATGGCGTGAAATAGATTGTCGTCCTCGATTCTATCGACCAGGGCCTTGGCATACTCTGCTCTATCCTGAGCCAGCTTCTCACGTGTGGCGGCAACACGTTCTCCTTCTGCGAGGGACTCGTTGAGTTGGTCAACAGCAATTTGAAATTTCTCGTAGGCTATAGAGCGCTGTTTACAAGATAAGAAAGAAAAAATTTTTGTTTTTCTGCAGATATAAGCAACATTACCATGTAGCTCATTTGGCCGAACGTTAAAAGTCCTTATTAGATTGATCAATTTGGTAATGTATAACAGATATTTCAACTTAAATAGTAAATTGTATGAGCAGAGCCAAGGTTTGGCTGTGGGATCGTGTTTAGCCCCTATTTTAGCTAATAACTACATGGCCCAATTAGAAGTTAGACTTTTCAAGAGGTGCTTATAATTCTCAATTTATTCATTCCTTATGCGGACGATTACTTTGCTGTTTGGCAACACGACAAAGATAGTTTGGGTGAATTCCTTGAGCTCATGGATAGAATAGATGCCAATGCTAAGCTTGCCATGGAGTTAGAAAAGGAAAATAAATTACATTTTTGGATGTTTTGTGAGCAAAGAAGGTAATCAGTTAGGTAGAGGCGTGTATAGGACACCCACACATGCGGATTTCTTTATTAATTTCTTCTCTAGCTATACATATAGAGTAAAGATAAAAGCTATAAAATCAGTGATAATAAGGCGCCTGCGTCTAGAAGGCGTAAACCTCAGGGAACAGAAGATCGGGGTTGAGGCATATATTCTGCCAAAACAATTGCAGATTATGAGTAGTAGACAATTTCACATCAAGTGTCAGTAACAAGATGAGAGAAGTTTGCAATCTGGGGCAGGATAAACAATTGGACCATGCTACCCGTTTTCTGATTTTGTCTTCCTGTCAGCATGCAAAAAAGGTGGGTGATCTACTGAGGAAGTGCAGCATAAAAACAATGTGTAAAGAAAAATTAACACTTTTTTCAGTAGTTCGTTCGTTTAAAGAATTTTAAAGCCCACTTTCTAGCTCAGGTTGCTACAAGACTTTGTGCTTATGTGGTAAGGTCTATGTGGGGGAGGCCTACCGACCCATCCTAAAGAGACTGTGTGAACACAAAATCGCTTGTAAAAGTCTATGGGTCCAAAAAGTTGAGCTCACTGAACACATGACCAATACAGAATACTCATTCGACTGGTCAAAAACACAATGTTTTGCGGGTTACGGGAACTTCACATAAAGACACCAGATTAAGGAGTCTATGGAAATTAACAAAATAGCCAACGTCCTGAATAGGATAAACAAATGTAGAAAACTGAGTAGGAACTATTTATGGCTGTTAAATGGGTTTAAGGAGATGGAGACAAAAGAATTGTAGGAAGAACCATTGAACAAGAGAACGAGGCTGGATTAGTCTCGAATGTAGCTATAACTATCACACCTCCCATGGCATGAGAATTACACACAGACAATAGACAATAGCACAAGCCGAAAACATGATTCAACATTAGAGGATCTTACACCAGTTTATTTGTGTAAGGGAACAGCTGCAACCGAACCAACTTCTGCTTCGTGAAGTAACTCTACTCTTCTGCAAGCATGTAGAGTAAGATAATATGGAGACCAAGATGTTGTGGCCTCTGTTATGGTCTCAGTCTCCTTTCGATTTATAGAAGTGGGTTGACGCAACTTGGTCTTGTTGTCAGGGCGACTATGTAGAACGCATCTAGTCCGACAATGAGAGGATTCGGATTTGAGACCCGAGTCGAATAAGCCCATCGAAAGATAGGGGTCGGGGTAACTAGTACGTGTGATGAAACCACACTAGGTTTGCCACAAAAGGGCACACATTTTGACGAGTGGAATGTAAACAAGTGAGAAGTTGTGATAGGGCGGCAGTTGGATAAGAGGCTAAAGAGTAGATAGATAGGCCAGAACAGAAAGAGGAGCGATTGTGGAACCGTTTTCTGCAGAACGGTTGTCGAGGCATTGACTTCACTTGTTGCTTTGACAAGTGCGTAGCTTGGTGCGGAGG